CCTCGTCCGCAGCAACGATCCTGCGGACCTAAAAGTCAGTGTCCACGAAGTCGAAAAATACGACGCAGGTACTGGACTGCAATCAGCTAAGCAGCCACAAAGCAGTTGCATAAGGGCGTTACAGCGACTTGTTAAGACGCACTGCAGTGAAGGCAGACAAGGCTACTAAATCCCAGTACCTTCGATGGGTGGCCTAATGGCTGCCTGCACAACTTGATCAACCCGTGTATGTGCAAACAAGCTGAGAGACCAATTCCCACCGGGGAACTAAAAACGTGCCCGTATGTGAAGAATGGATCGGAAACCGTCAGCCGCCTTCTCACACCCCTTAGAGTGGGGGCTGCACGCAGATTGAAGACAACAACCAGGAGACAGGTTGTGAAGTCAAAAGAGCCACCACCATAACAGGAAACGTCTGGAGACATTCATGGAGTGCAATGCAAAGTAACTACTCTGAACGTGGACAGCTGGAGCGATCGACGCCAGCTCGCTTCTCAGAACCCGGTGACAACTGCGTGAACAGTAATTTGCTTCAATTACTATTCCCCGACCTCTCGGTCAACTAACAAGCATAACGATTATCCCCTCCCCACATTCTGTGCTAGAACTTTGCCTGAGCAGATGAACTAGCCACGCGAGAACACGCGGACGGACAGTTTTCAGTGTCATTATTGGTGAGTCACATTTCTGAGTAATTATCCGTCTATAACTAAAAAGAATAATGAAATTTAGTCAAGTAGCGACTCGGTTGCAGACAATCAATAAAGTATCACATCAGACGCCACTATCAGGAATTAATCTGGGAGGTGCTACATTCGAAAGGTATGCGGTGGCACAGCGGCCGCATCCTATAAATATTGCAACACCTGTGTAACACACTACACCGATCTGCGGCCGCTGCTGCTGCCTCTCAAGGTGGCTTCGAATGTGAACCCGAAGTGTCAGGAGAATAAAACTCTGGTTCCGACGATCGCGCCTTCTATTTCCCCAGTCAGTCTGCGATATATGCTAAAGAAATTAAATTCGGATGTGGTATGATAGTAAATTATGGAGGAGGAACAGTCATCCTCTGCTAAAAGGAAGGTCGAGAAAAAGAGTAAAGGACATTCTTGGCGAACAAGGATTGTCGCTTTTTAAGTAGATAATTACTACAGTGAACAGACGTAAACAAAGCTAGCATGTGCTATTTGGTGCAATTACATGCACCCGAGCCAGTCTCTAGTCTTACTGACTCTGTCTAAACGGGATGCTGATAACGAGAGTGCCGGATGTTGTGTTGTTCGGTCACTGCTGTAAATGTATTCCTGCACAAGCCACAGTCCCGCGCCCACTACGCAGTGACACAAGCGTCAGCGTTTGCGATGGTCGAACTGCTGTTGGTGTCACCGTGCTTAATACCACCCAATCTCTCGGGTTTGCCCTATTGTCCTACCGTGGAGTTTTCAAGTTAAGGACTTTCCCGGACCTTTCCAAGCAAATCGGAGACCGCAAAGAGAAGGACGTGCTCGAGGACCACTTCAACGCTTACCCTGCTGAAAGCCTTGACTACAGACACTGGTCGGCGGAAAGATGAGCTAGAGCAGTTAGTTGATCCTGACAGCGAGACTAGGCTGTCTATGACCGTGTTTCCTTCGGATAAGTAGTTTTCGTGCTTCTAGTTAGATTGTCAAGATTACAGTGAATCCTAATCGACTTGAGAAAAGGGAGTATATGTAGGCGGCTCACAAACCCAGCTGATAAGAAGGCACGGGGCAAAACAGAATTCGAAACGCTCACCAGCGGTGGCGATGGGGCCCATAATCATTCAAGGAATGCTGCAATTACCGTTCAAACTTCTGATCCGACGTCTGAAATTTGGAGATATGTGCAGAAGGCAGATGGAAATCACGAAGAGATGGCCACCTTATAGCTTAAAACGGTTGCCATAAAATACCAGTTGAAGAAGCGTGTACTGTGTATGTGTAATATTTTGATCTGGATTGGGTTACTGAGGTCCTGGTAATTCAGCGTAATGAACCGACGTTCCGCAAACTGATTATCACTTATTAAACAACACGCAGGGAAAAATTATATTTTCATCATTCGTGGGATGACAAAAGAGAAATGGTTAAAACCCGAATTCTATTATAATCAAATAGATAAACCGGCTTTCGTTTCTATGCCAAATAACGCGTATGGTAAAAAAGCGTTCATCAAACAGCCTAGGAGACAAACATAGTAGGTAACCCGATTGGGAAACGGACCCCTGGCTCAATGGTGGAGCGTTGGAACGAAGTTCGTCGAGGGAATTTCCTTCAAACATCGACAATTCAACTTTCAAGGTAGTCAGTTTAGGTTTTAATGAGGCATGATAAATCGCGGCGGAGTCATAAGATGAGTAAGTATGGGATCATATGTAAACTGCAGTTTGAAGAAAACCTACGGGCTCGGACAAGCACATGCGTGTACTAGGATAAAAGTTCTCCTCAAAAGGAATAAAACATATACCAAATCAGGAAGTAAAAAGGAATATTAGGAGACTTCAGTAATTCCGCTTCAACGACTTCTCTAACAAATGCATACTCAAATAGTTAAAGCAACTACAAAAACACATCGCTAAACAGCTGTTCCGAGATAAACGGTCCAACTTAATCAAACACAGTCGGAACCCAGGAGCAACTGCCAGCAGTTTAGGGCTGAGTTAATGTTCCAGCAAAACGTGGTGTTATACGGTATTCAGTTGCAGTCCCACTGAGAGGTGAAGATAGCCCAAACACGACAAGAAGCCTGTGGAAATGTGAGCCATCAGTGACAAAAACGATGGTCGTAAATATCCAGGGCGAAGGGAGTTTCAACGGATGCTTAGTGGAACTAATGGATTCCTAGAGGAAAAGTGGAATTTTTAAAGCTCAAAGTATTACTAATATTAACTTTCAATCTATATGCGCAAGCACTCCACATCGGGTTACTGGTACATTGTACGCGCCCGACGAGACAGAATAATACAAAGTACACACATTTGACGGGACTTCGAAAAATTTTACCCAAAAAAGAAGTTCTTCGTAAGAAAACGGGGCTTCGTAAAATATCGTAAGCCCCTACAAGAGCTCGTAATAGAGCAGAAGACTGATCCATTCCCAAACGGATCTCTGGAAAGATAAGCAGATCATATTTGTCTTAAGGCTATTGGAGGCCTGCCAACTGACCTAAGGATTCGAGGTAAGACCTATGACTGCAACTGTCCTAGACATCACAGCACGTTTAAAGTGCGTATAAAAGTCCGTTTGATAGCACGAAGGAAACCGGCCAGGTGACCAGTTTTTTTCCCAAGACAAGAAGCAATCCCACGCGCTGACACGCTAACACAAATTCAGCCAACCGCATTATCGATCGACAGTGATTCGCCTGGGAACTGTCGG